TTTCCCCGCCCGAATGGCGTGTCCCATAGGCTCGGGGCAGTGCTGGCTCCCCGCTTCCCTGTGCAGGCGTGTCCTGTCGGCTGTGGGCAATGCAGGGTGCCCGGCTCGGGGCGCTGCAGGGTCTCCCCTCTCCCGCTCCTTCTCTCACGCAGAGCTGGAGAAACAGCAACAAGTTTTGCATTTCAACAATGGATTTCAGCTATTAGGACTGCACCAATGAGCGGGATGCATGCTCCGGGGCGGGGCTCCCACTTAAGGTGGCTTCTTTCTCACTGTGGCTCCGCAACCCTGGATCCGGGCTCTGCTTGCGCTTGGGTGCCCAGCACCTACCTGCCTATCTGTTTTACCCCTGCCAACTCAACTAATGATGGCCCGAAAGAGGCTCCTTTGTTAGCGCCTGGTCACTCGCACGCAGCGCTGTGACATGTAATGCTGCCGCCCAGCGCAGCGGTGCGCGGGTGTCAATGCCCTGTTCGCACAGACCCCACACATCTTAGGCGCTGGGTGCGAGTGTATCTGTCAGGGTGACGTGCTCGGTGTTTCAGTGAATGGTAAGTTTTCCGGGCGAGGCTAAACTCCCCCTACGCGCCCCAATAATTGTTCCCGTTTCCCATCTCATTTCTCTATCCAGCTGGTGCGGGGCGCCAGGTAGCTTCCCTAAATATGATTAAAAAGGCGCCTGCCTCCCTTCTCCCCACTTTTATTTTTCACACTTTGCAATGAACGAGGACGAGCGAGTGTGTGTGCACGGCGGGCAAGGGGCGGGGCGGAGGGGGGGTTATTGATCGTTGCTGTTCTCGGGGACCCGGGCTGGGGGGCCACAGAAATCGTCGTGAGCATTAAAATCAGCCGGCAAAGCCCAGCTCGGTGTTCTAGTCGCGTCTTGATTCCCACAGTGGCTTCCAGCCTTGCGCGACGTGCTAGCGTATCTAAGCAAGATTTCTGTTGTAATGTTGATTGTGTTTTTTATTATTCTCATTCAAAGTAATGGCCAGACAGCCAAACTTCCTTAAGAGATCAATTAGTCTAGAGAGGCTAAGGAGAGGACTTGGGTTCGGATACCAAAATCAGTAAGTGTAATTTAATATCTGCTTTGCTCTTTATGAAATATTTATCCCAATAATCTTAGTTAAAATGTTTAGCTCTTTATGCTCTCCACTGGGGCCTGCAATTAGAAGTTTGTAAAAAGATGGACAGCTTTGGAATCAAGTAATCAAAGGAGATCTTGGCAACAGAATAACATTAAAGCTCATGAACAATTATTTTTGCTAACATTTAAATATACATAAAATATTTAGAAACTGCATTTAAATGTGTTTACAGTCAGTGTAGGTCCTGTGTATTCCAATGTTTTCTAAACTGTGCATTAAATAAATGTTATACAGAAATTATTTTCAAACCACATCTCTTTCCATGTAGACTAGAACCAAACAGACAAGCTTATGAACTGGGTGGTAGAAGTTATCCAGTTCGCCCCATCAGACCCTGTCCCTTAGAGCTGAATGATACTGAGTCCAAAGGCTTTAAAATATTGGGAGAAACATTTGCCATGTTGGAGATACCTTGGCAAACGGGGGCACGTAGGCCACAGCCTTTGTAAAGGAAAATACTTTTTAAAAAATCCAAGGATTTAAAAATAAATGACAACTACAAGGCAATTCAGGTGTTCGCATCTCATAGATGTCAATAGATTTTTTTTAAATGAAAATTACTACTACCAAAAAAAGAGATCTATAAATAAGCAGCCAAGAAGAAGTATTTGTATATGACAGTGGAGTTTTAAAAGGATTTTCTGCAGGATCAGGATGCTGGGCTGTGATTAAATATTGATTTTGTGTAATTAGTTTTCATGTGAACTATCCTCCTTGCTGATGGCTTAGAGATTTCAGAACTAGAAAAGAAATGGAATTGGACATGGAAATTATTACTTAGCAAAGTGACGGGGGGGAAGGATAGATGGGGAAGGCCTGGGGTGTGTAGTTTATTTTCTGCCCAGCACCTGGTACAAAATAAGTACAGACTGACATTAATACAAAGGAACAAAAGGAAATCTTACCAATTCCAGAGGAAATACTGACAAAAGAAAATGCCAGCTCCCCAGACCAGCAGCCACACATTCTAGCCCAGTTTAAAACTCTACAGGAAAAAAACTCAGCATTTTAGACAAAGCTTTTCTATTTTAATACAGGTGGAGAGTCTAGTCTTATTCCACACAGCTTCGTGGGGTACATAGGAATGTCCAAGCACTGGGTTTCAGTCAGTAGCTGCCCTATATCCCACATCAGCATGCACCTTACATTGTTTTTCAAAAACACCCTTTCTTAGCAACCCACCGAACCCAGCTCATTCATGGAAAGGCACATGATCCTTTTTTTTTTCCTTTTTACTTTCTGCAACACCCCCGCCCCCATTTCTAACCCTAATTATAGGGCAAGTCTTGTATTCAAAGTCAGCTCAGGCTAAACTGTGTCTTCAGGTGTGTGTGTAAAAGAGGGACTGTGCATCTCTCTCTCTCTCTCTCTCTCTCTCAATGTCTGGATGAGACTGACTTTCTCAGGGAGTGAGTGGTGAAGGTTTGTGTTACTACTGCAAGCACAGGCTGGTTTATTTCAAACAGACACATTGCCCCCTAGAAATCCCAACCTGAGCGTGGGAGCAAAGAAACACATCCTTCAGGAGAAAGGACATGAATGAAAAACAGATTGCTCATTATTTTCAACCCTCTCCTGCTAGATTTTTCTTCCTATACATGGTAAAGTACTTATATTAATTGTGCTATTTCTGCTTGAGTGATAAACAATTCAATCAGTTGTAGGGGTGCTCAAAGCAGCTCCTCTAAGAGAGTTCCACAATATACATTCTCAGTCTCCTCCTGATTGCAAATGCCAACAGTGAGAGGGAGCAAAACTCTTGAATCCCCTTTATTTTTGAAACTATAAATAGATTGATGCCATTCTACCCCTATGGGATGAAATGCCAACATAGTACTGATCTCATCTGTGCACACTACAATTTCCGAGCAACAGAGCCAGGGGGAAGCCGAAGGTTGCATTCTGATTGCACTGAGTTACAATTTTCAATGCATTTGAACATTACATAGGCAGCTGGTGGGTTTTTTGTGCCCGGTCACTGAGAGTATGTTTACACAGCAGCATTATTTCAGAATAACTGATATTATTCCAAAATAACATACTGCACGTTGACACTACAAGCCTTTATTTCAAAATACTGTCAAGCTGGAGGACTTCTTACTCTGACTCCTGTAACCCTCATTTCATGAGGAGTAAGGGAAGTTGAAGGAAGAGTGTTCTTCCTTCAACTTCCTGCTGTGTAGACAGCACCAAAATTTGTGGAATTTCCATCTGTGGAGATATTTAAGAGTAGGTTAGATAAATGTCTATCAGGGATGGTCTAGACAGTATTTGGTCCTGCCACGAGGGCAGGGGACTGGACTCGATGACCTCTCGAGGTCCCTTCCAGTTCTAGTATTCTATGAAAAGCTGAGTTAAGCTTGGTAATTGACGTAGCTGAAGTCACATAGCTTAATTTGACTTTAGCCCTGCTGTGTAGATGTACCCCTAGAGACTAACATTTTATTAGGGCATTAGCTTTAACAGGCACCCAGAGGGAGGGGAACAGAACCTGGTCTCTCTGCTTACCAAGCTGGGTTCAAAACATTGCACCAAGGAAGGGAAATGGCCAAGTGTTAAAGGCCCATGGAGAGTGTGAGGTGCTAGTGCCCTAGGAGAGCACAGCGCGGACCTCCCACAGAAAGGCTTTGTGCACAATCACTTCTTGGGGCCACCCACTCACCTGCTCCCACCCACAGCTACCTGCACATGGAGCCCTGCCCCCTTTCCATTTCCTTTGGCTGCCCAATGGGGAAGGGGGCTGGGCCCCACCCTGGCAGGGCAAGGAGATGGGTTCCAGCAGGGGTAGCAGCATTAACTGCTCCTAAGAGCACAAGTAACAAGAGCCAAGGGGCCCAGCCAGAGACACCCCTCCTGAGAACCAGCCCTGGAAATTGGACAGGGACAGCTAGAGTATGTCTACACTAGCCCCCTAGTTCGAACTAGGGAGGCTAATGTAGGCATTCGAACTTGCTAATGAAGCCCACGATTTAAATAGCCCAGGCTTTATTTGCATGTTCCTGTCCGGGCGCCATTTTTAAATCCCCTTAGTCCGAACTAACTGTCCGCGGCTACACACAGCAGTTAAGCATTAATTCGAACTAAGTCCTTACTTCGAGTTAATTGTTACACCTCATTCCACGAGGTGTAACAGTTAATTCAAACTAAGTCCTTTGTTTGAGTTAACGTTTGACTGCTGCGTGTAGCCGCGGACAGTTAGTCCAGACTCAGGGGATTTAAAAATGGCGACCGGACAGGAACATGCAAATAAAGCCTGGGATATTTAAATCGTGGGCTTCATTAGCAAGTTCGAATGCCTACATTAGCCTCCCTAGTTCGAACTAGGGGGCTAGTGTAGACATACTCTAGCTGTCCCTGTCCAATTTCCAGGGCTGGTTCTCAGGAGGGGTGTCTCTGGCTGGGCCCCTTGGCTCTTGTTACTTGCTAGTGTAGACATACCCAGGAAGAGTTACGCGTTTGGGTCACCATGCTTAGCAACAAGGGACCTCTTGTCCTCTTCAAGGGTGAGAGCTTCAGGGGCCAGCAAAGCAGCAGCAAGTAACCCAGGGGCCTCCACACTGGTGACCCTGTGCCCCCCTGCTGACCCTGGCCTGCCTGTGCCACAGG